TTTGGATATACTATTCCTAAATGGTATACTGGCTGCAACATCATTACAAATGTGTCTAAAGCAGAGTTAACAGTAAAATTAAGTTGGCAATGACATTGGCAAATGGCAAAAACAACATTTTTCTGAATTGTGTACTAGCTGTAGGTAACTGTTACTGGAAAATATATATTTATTCTGCATGCTCTTTTAAAATGGAGTAGTATGTATTTGTTACAAATATATCCTGCTTTTCACAATGCACATATTCCTGAGAAGCTATGATTAAAATGAATTTTAAAAATGCCAACTTCTATAATAAAAAGCACATATCTGGAGTCTTTTTATATTTAAATCAACTCCTAAACTGTGTTTATACATCTAACTAGGATTAGAAAGTATACAAAAAGACACATGGTCACATTTATTTTTGAACTGCTACTGACTATGGAATTAAGAGGCAATTTCTGAACTACAAATATTAACACTGTTGGTTCAAGTCTGTCGGCCCTCAGAGGTTAAGAAAGTATCTAACTAACTTGTTCTGTTGACTAGATTCTGACTCATAGTGCCACCATGTGTGTCAGAGTAGAAAGTTCACCATAGGATTTTCAACAGCTGATTTTTGGGAAACAGACTTTTTTTAAGGCACCATGGAGTAGAGTTGACAATCCAACCTTAAGATTAGCAGATAAGAGCATCAACTCTTTGTACTACCCAGGGCCTTCAAGAGCTTAAGAAAAGGAAGAAGCAAGGAAGAGGGGAACCCACAGAAGACAAATGTATATACATAAAATGTATATAAAAGCAAAAAAATAATCCACCTCTCTGCCTTTCTGCAGACTTACTACCTGGCCAAAATCTCCTGTTGGAAGATTTCTAGAATCACCTCTCCTAAATGAGTCCCTATATGACTCATCTACTATTTCTCACCAAATGCTTTCTACAGGAGTTATGGTTTTCAGGTCTTAATGCCACAGGTGAAGTCTGGCCTCTTGTGAGAGAAGCCTACCATCTCACTTTATCCTTTATAACACCTAGCACAAATGTGGAACCCAACGAGCTCACGGATCTTCAGGCTATTTCCTGTTTCGTTTCTAAATTTAAGTGCACAGTGGTCTATTAGGAGTCCTACCAACTGATCAGGAGTGACAAGAAGTAGAGATCATTTAAGGTGTGAGACAGTAGAAAGATTTTTGCTACAATCTCTGTGGCAAAACAACGTTATTTAAAAGAAAATAACTTATAAAAGAGGTGAAGGCAACAAAGATAAATACTATATCACACACAATCCTGCAGTAACAGTAAATAACAGTAATTTTCAAGGGGATACACAGACACTCCTGCTGAACAGAAGTGGGAAGGCGAATGGGACTACACAATCATGAATATATACATAGGTTTGACAAAGGATATCTTGACATATGTGATTTTATGTGCTGCCAATATACCCATGAATATAGAGCATACAGGGGGCAAAGTTATGAAAACTTCTTAGCTATAACCAAACTTGTGGGAATGAGTCACTGGGTCAGGGGCTCAGGACAATAGTATTGGGGGACACGCCAACTGGTATAACATAGTCCACAAAGACAGTGTTCTACATCCTACTTAGATGAGTAGCCCCTAGGTCTTAAAAGTTTATGAACAACCATCTAAGGTGCAACTATTGGTATCTCTCTGTCCAGAGCAAAGAGTGAAGAAAATCAAAGACATGAGGAAACTATTAGTACAAAGGACTAATGGACCATGCGAACCCTACCCTTCATGACTATGAGACCAGAAGAACTAGATGGTGCCTGTCTACCAATGCTGACAGCTCTGAAAGGGATGACAATAGAAGGTCCTCGAGAGAGTGGGAAAAAATGTGCAAAATTAAAAATAATTAAAAAGACCAGCCTTATTGATCTGAAGAGAAGGGTAAACCACTGAGACTATGGCCCTTAGACACTCTTCAAGCTTGAAACTGAACTCACCCCAGTGGCTCAACTTTCAGCCAAATAATAGATAAGCCACTGGGGTGAACAACAGCACCAGAAAGGTACACACTCCTTAGAACAATCAACTATAAAAGATCAAAAGGGCAGCATTTACTCAGCGATAAAGCTCAGGAAGTAGGAAGGGATAGGAAACGGCAAATGGAAACAGTAAACACAAAGAGGAAGTTGGAAGAATGCTGTTTAGCATTGTGGGGATTGCAATCAATGTCACAAAACAAAATGTGTATGAATTGTTGAATGGAAAACCAATTTTCTCTATAAACTTCACCCAAATCACAGTGAAAACTAAATTAAAACCAAAAACAACTTATCATTTGCATGTTGTTTCTACAAACATCCTAATTGATCTCCGAGTACAGCCAAAGAGTGAATAAAGCCAACCTGAAAGTTCCGAAACCATATCCTATTATCCAAAATGGTGAAAGTAAACACATGGTCCACAAATGGCTGGCTTTTGGGATGATACCGTGGTGTAGAAAAGATCTAGTGAAGAAAAGTATATATTAGTTCTTTATTCCAAGATATACCAAATATGTTTTAGATGGTTAAGTCAACAAAGAATCCAACAGACACTCATTTGTAATATATTATTAAAAAAAAAACTTTCTAAGAAAGATATTTACCTGAATAAAGAGTTCTTTTAACAAAGCATAATGTGGTAATTCATCAAATGCCTATAAAACAAAGCAAACGTATCATTGGACAATAGCAGATTACCTTATCTGAAGAGATTGTGTGCGTTTATGTCTGTGTTTTTAATGTTCAACAAATTAAATTATATAACTAACTATATTCACCAAAAAAAAAAACAGCATATAGAGTAGGAATATTAGACCTCATGCACTGAGTAAGAAACTTACTGGATCAAAAGATAAAAGGGGCCGAGAACCTTTCAAACAGTTTCCAGTCATCTTTAGTTCAGCTAGGGTATGAACTAGAAAAAGAAAAATTGTAACAACAAAAGTTACAACTCTGGCACAATTACTTTAA